CCACAGCCTGCACCATCCGACCATTCCTAGAAAAGATCTCAGTTCTTGATTATTTCGGGGCACAGGTATAGCACATATTGCTTGAATCCGATTTGTTCCCAAGCGCCGGACTCCTTGGGAAATTTCACATCCCAGATAGATAACTTTCTGTTTTACTAGTTGTGCCTTTTCTTTTGAGACTCGGTAGCCTGCTTGCCCCAACATGTTTAACAGTGCAATGGTTAACTGACGACAAAGTCCCTGTTCTGTAGCTCCCAAAAAGATGTCGTCTACATATTGGAGTACTATATATGAAAAAGGAGATTCTTTTACCTGCGTCGTCTTCCACTCTTCAAGTTCCTTTGCCAACTGGTTACCAAATATTGTAGGAGAACACTTAAATCCTTGAGGTAATCGTGTCCAAGTGAGTTGTCGTTTTCGTCCGGTCTCTGGATTTTCCCATTCAAAGGCAAAGATTTTCCAACTTTCTCGTGCCAGTGGTATGCAGAAGTAGGCATCTTTTAGGTCAATCACTGTAAACCACTGAAATCTCTCAGAAACAGATGTTAACAAGGTATAGGGATTAGCTACAACCGGGTGGATGTCTTTTGTGATGAGGTTTACTGCTCTCAAGTCTTGCACTAACCTGTACTTACCATTAGGCTTTTTATCGGAAAAATGGGAGTATTAAACTCTGACTCACATTCTTTTAATATTCCTAAAATTAAAAACTCTCTGATCATTGGGGCTATTCCTTTTCTAGCTTCTAAACTAATTGGGTACTGTCGCACCCTAACAGGTTGTGCTCCTTCTTTCTCTTAAAGAAAACAAGTAAATATCTTCACTGGCTTCTAACCATATAGCGGCATAAAAACTCTCCTCTGGGCAAAAGGGTTTTTTATCGCTAACATACCAATTTAAAAGTTCACAGACCCAATTCTTAAAAGTACCATATATGGGCCAGTAGGTATTATTTCCTATTCTTCTATCTCCCCACACTTCAATACAATACTTAATCATTTTCTCCTTTGATCTTCTATAAGTGCTGGAATAACAACTCCAGTTCTCTAAGAGGTTCTCCAAGGGACTCTCAGGGGGAATCCTCAGCGTCCTAGCTTCAAAGTCACCTTTTACTAATCTTCCTCTCAGAGGGCTATTTGTAATCTCTCTCTGAGGTTCTTCTTTTTTACTACTTTTAACTTCATTCAGAGGTTCCGCTCTTTCCACCATCACTCTTAATACCATTTCTTTTTCTGTTGAATCTAGAATTGTATCTAACAATACCTGTAAATCATTCCAGTCCGGATTTTGAGTTTTTATAACCATTTTTATAATACAAGTCACCCGCTCCGGATTTTCTCTATATGTCTCAGCTGACTGTTTCCAAATTAATAAATCATTAGGTAAAAAAGAAACTTTCATCATGACTTTTCCCCCGTCCGCTCCAACTGCTTCCCGCAAAGGGGTCATCAGTCTAGGGGGTGAGAGCGAAACGTCTGTCTCCCTTCCCCCTCCCCGTCTCTTTTCTCTACTCCTTCCCCTTTCTTTTCGCCCCTTCCGAGTCCGTTCTGCTAGTGGAGTTCTGTCACATTCTCGCCC